CCTTCGTTCCGAGGCACATGCGGAAGTCGATAGTCCTTTTTTATTCTTACGAGGACTATGCTCCCCGGCTCGTTCCCACGATGGGTACTCATGCTCAAGGACAAGATGTGTGTGCGGCATCTTCTCCGTCCGAAAGTGGCAACGTATCGTCTTCAAGTGGTTCTTCACGGGATTCGGCGCTCGAGTTCAACATAGAGGTATTGAATCCGCTCATGTTCGAGGATTCCGCATGGCTTCCTCGCCCGACCACGGGTCGGTTGTTGGGACTGCAATGCGCAACACTAGGCGCTCAACTCCGCACATACTTATCCTTCTATGCACCACCGACTTCGCCGACCGACGACGAAGCTGCGGTTAACCAAGGTGGCCCGGGAGTTTCGCAAGCAGCGGTACGATGACAACAACGCACCGCTCCTCTATGTTGGCACCCAAGTTGGGCAAGCGTCCTGCAGCGCTTTGCTGGATAGCGGCGCGTCTCGCAATTTCATAAGCCAAGCCTTTATGCAAAGGGCTGGCCTCGGCGCACAAGTTCGAAGGAAGGCAAACCCAATGACGATCAAGTTGGCGGACGGAAAGACGCAGCAACTTCTCGTCCGTTATATCGAGGCTGTCCTAGTCTATTTCGCACCTCATGCATGCGAATCGGTGACGTTCGACATTTTGGACACGGACTTCGATATTATTTTGTTAATGCCTTGGCTTGCAAGTGCGGATCACACGGTCAACTTCCACCGGTGGACTCTTACCGTCCGGGACGCCTTCGGCGCCGAAGTGTCGTGTACCATTCCTCTTCCGCACCCTTCGATCCGGTGCCAAGTGGTGACGGCCAAGTCGTTCCGGCCTACTTGCGATTACGAGCAACCCGACGAGATAGGCCTATGCTTCCTACAGACCGTCGCGGTAGCAGACTCTTCCCCCACGGACTTGTCTTGGGACCCCTGTGTGGTGCGGTTGCTTGACGAGTTCACCGACATCTTCGAGTCACCCACCAGTGTGGTGCCGGATCGACCGATCTCTCACTAGATCATTCTTGAGGCCGGTGTCGCGGCGCCGAAAGGTTGGATTTATCGCATGAGCGAGGAGGAGCTTTCGGTCCTCCGCGGCCAACTCGATGAGTTGTGAGACGAGGGCTGGATCCGCCCTAGTAGCTCCCCATATGGAGTGCCAGTTCTCTTCGTACGGAAGAAGAACAAGGATGTATGATTGTGCATCAACTACGGCAAGCTCAATGCACAAACCGTCAAGAATGTGAGGCCTCTTCCTCGTATTGACGATCTTCTTGAGCGATTGGGTGGTGCAAAGTACTTTTCTAAGTTGGATTGGAAGTCGGGATATCATCAGATTTCGATCCGGTCGAACGATCGCTATAAATCCACGTTCAAGACGCGGTATGGGCATTTTGAGTGGGTGGTCATTGTTTGTTTCATCAATATGTTCTCAAGTACCAGTCTTCATGATCTTCTTAATAGAATCAAAACGTATTTCAATAAAAACCTGTATCAAAAATCGTCTTTCTTTTCTCTTTTTCTCAGTCTTAATAGCARCTTTTTTAACTCCTCCAGACATTTGGTTTCAATTTGCGTGTGTTTTACCTATTTATGGTATGATAGAATGCCTTTTGGCCTCACTAATGCCCCGACGACCTTTCAAGCGACAATGACCAACGAGTTTCGTGCGATGTTGGACCGGTTTGTGCTGGTCTACGTAGACGACATTCTCGTCTATAGCCGGACATTGGAGGATCATCTTGAGCACCTTATACGAGTGTTGGAGACGCTCCGCCGCGACAAGTGCGAATTTGTCCAGCAAGAGCTGGAATACTTGGGCCACTTTGTCACACCGGAGGGCATCAGCCCATTATCGGACGAGATTCAAGCCATCCAAGAGTGGGCGGAGCCGCGGAACGTCACGGATATCCGTTCGTTCCTTGGCCTTGCCGGCTACTACCAACGTTTTATCAAGGGATACTCGAAGATCGCGACCCACTTGACCAAGCTTCAATGCGAGGATTGATCGTTTGACTTCGGTGAGGATGCGCGGGAATCATTTTTTGCTCTCAAAGCCGCACTATTATCGGCGGAGGTCTTGCGCATATACGACCCGCTATTGCCAACACGCGTTACTACGGATGCGTCCGGCTATGGCATTGGTGCCGTTCTCGGACAACACGATGGCGTGGACTAGCACCGGAGTTGGCGGAGGTTCTTTATGCAGGCTGGATTCGAACCAAGGATTACCCCAAGGAAATCGTCTGCGACCGCGACACTCGGTTCATGTCCGATTTTTGGTTGGCGCTCATCTATCAATGGGGCTCATCTCTCAAGCCAAGTTCGGCTCCCCACCCCCAAACCGATGGCCAAACGGAGAGGGCGCATCAGACCGCACAGGTTTTCCTTCGCACTCTCATCCGTCTCGACCAAAAGGATTGGGTTGAGTGGCTGTCGGATGTCGAGTTGGCATACAACTCGTTCGGCTATCGGGATGTCGCCCTTCAAGTTCAAGCATGGCTCGCCGGTCACTTCTCCGTTGGACACACTCATTCCTCGAGCGGCCGAGAGAGACGACCATGTTCTCTTCTTGCGTCGGATGCAAGAGCTACTTGTCAAGGCACGCGACCAAATGGCTAAGACGCAGCAACGCATGAGCCAACAGGCCAATCGCCAGCGTCTTCCTTGTCCATTCCGCGCCGGCGACCTCGTTTGGGTTTCCGCCGCGAAATTCAGCCTCGAACAAGATCTCTCTTGCAAGCTCCTCCCGAAATGGATGGGGCCCTGACCGATCGTGGCACCCGCTGGGGATGTACCCGAAGGACCTTCCATCATTCAGGTGCTCGCCCACTTGCCCGTCTACCCAGTCTTTCATTACTCCAAGTTGGCTCTTTACATGCCAGCGGAACATGGCGACTTTCCCGGGTGACAATCGCAAGACCCACCCTCTATGGACGGTTCGTGGGTTTCCAAGAGGTCGGCAACATCATCTCCCAGCGACGCTACGGCAACAGGCCGACCGAATACTTGGTACACTTTGCGTATTGCACCCACAAAGCTGACCGTTGGTTGACCCGTGCGGAACTCCAAGCAATAGCACTGGATGTTCTCGCACACTACGAACACAGGATGCAAGGCAAGCCGGTATCTTCAGCTCCACGTCGCACCCGCGTCCAGGTTCCACCTTCAGATCGTCAGCTTCGCCCTCGACACGACTTGACTTCATAAGGAGGGGGGGGTGTGTTACATGCTGCGCCTGCACACAGGCCCCATTTGAGGGGCCCGACGGTTGCTGAGGGGCCCCAGGCCGCATGCCAGCAGACATGCGCCCTGGAGGCCCATGACGGCCCCCCAGGCCGCAGATTGCAGATATAGGCGGCAGTATTTATTTATTTACTTACCTGTTGTCCTATTGCTTGCCTGTGCAGACGTCGTTTCGGACTTGCAGACCCCAAGGCGGTGCCTTGGGCCAGGTACTGAGGGACGAGGCCCTTCCGAAACCAGCCGCGTTTTGGCGCCTGACTCAACGGTACCAATGCTTTTTCGGATGCAGGCACCAAGGCAACACGAAGGCCAGGCGCATTTTCACGCCTTGCTGCATCAGCAGCACGGTCTGGACGTCCGGTAGGGACCCAGACCGGTTGGGCCGTTTGAGGCCAGCACCAGGCAGACTCAGCCTCGCCTAGCGCTTCTTATAGCTGAGTCGAGGCTGGGCTGAGACAGTTCGGGTAGCTCACTTCTCGAGCGACACACTGCTAGACCGGCGCTGCAGCTTCGCGCTGCGCTGCGAACTAGAGACGGGAGTAGGTGGGAGAGGGCGGAGGCCATACCTGCGGACGGCGGACTTACCTGGCACCATAGTTGGGACTCCACTCGCGACCTGCACAAGACAGCAACCATGCGGTAGTCAGTGACGGTGGTCTTCCTGCAGGTGAGACAGTAGGGAAGATGACCTCTTCGTCTCCCCCCTCCATCTCTCTCTCTCTCTCCTCTCTTCTCCTTCTTCTTCTTCTTCTTCTTCTTCTTCTTCTTCTTCTTCTTCTTCTTCTTCTCCAGATACGAGGGGGAAAGAGGTTACAGGCAGAGGATACAGGCAGAGGTTACCGTGGGCATTGTGCCCGGGATCGGATTCGACATTTCTGAGGCAGACATTGATTGGACATCGGCAAGGGACTATTTTTGGACTTCTCTGTTGCGATCTGGGTTTCTTTCCCCCCTCGCCTCCAGCTTCGTCTCTCCTCTCCCCCATCTCTCATTTGTGGTACCTCCCCATGTGTGTGTAGGAGGAGGGACCTTTCTTCGTTGTGTGTGGTCCCTCCTCTCACGTGTGATGTATGATGGGATGTGTCAGTCCCGGTCAGGTCAGGACTTGTATTAAAGTCTTCCGTTGCGCTACCATGTGCCATTTTGTATATATCAGGGTGTACATTGCTTGTTGATGCTCAACTGACATTGCATTGTCCATTCAGTCCTTTTCATCACATTGCGGATCCTTGGCTCTACATACATTGCCCAACTGGGCATGTATCACACGGGACTGTGGAGAGAGGAGGAAGGATATAACAGGTTGCGTGACTCATCGCTGAAAGCACCACCTTCTCCACGTGGCACGGGACTGTGGAGCGAGGAAGGAGGATGACAAGGACGGGAACAAGAAACGGAAATCGCATGCCTCGACAGCAGGAGAGTGGAGGAGGAGGGAGGACGATCACAAGAATCACAAGATGAAGAAAAGAAATTGTGTGCCACACTGCCACGTGGCATGGGACTGTGGAGAGAGGAGGGAGGAGCCATATAGCTGACTTTTGCTGTAGGGAGAGAGAGAGAGAGAGAGAGTACATTAGACCTGGTATATCTGATTGATAAGAGTTTTATTTTCGCCATTTGTGCGGGCGTAGCCGCACCGGCTCTACTTGTTGCTGTTTGTTGTGCATTTGATCTCATGCTGGTGTTATTGTTCTCACAACAACTATCTGTCATTGGTCTTCTTGTATTCATTTTCTGTCTGGGCAGGTGGATTTGGACAAGGAAGATGAGTTCTCACCAGTATTTTGCATTCGCAAGAAGGATGTGAAGGAAGAGGCAGGCGATGGGGAGGGTGCTGCCACTGGAAGGGCAGGTGGTGGTGGGGCAGGAGCAGCAGCATCTGGAGCTGGTGGAGGTGGTCGAGGCGGAGGAAAGAAACGGAAAGGACCAGAAAAGGGTGGTGATGCTGCTGGAGCAGCGTCCACTGGGCCAGCAAAGAAGGCCAAGTCAGAGACTGGAACAAACCGAGAGGTATGTGGATGGCAGAAGGGGAAAGACATCATTTAGTCCACATTGCCGCTGTCTGTCCCTCTTCGTTTTGCTCTGGCTGTTTGTTCTCAGCTTTCGTTCAAGTTTGGCTGGCAATGGAAACTTTCCATTCCCACAATTGCTTGGGCAGTGGTTCGAAGGGTCGGTGCGAGTAAAGTCAATCACTTTTCTCAGGAGTATTGCTAACTCCGGGTGATGTGGTGAGTCCTTTTCCATCAGTGAAATGGGCATCGTGGCCAGACAGTGGGGTTTCAACCTCCCCGTGACCCAGTGAGAGTCTGATGAACCAGTCTGGCACAGTCATGCTGTTTGGTGTGGAGATGTGTATAGCAAACATAAAACACCCACACATACACACGTGCATACACACACACACACACACACACACACACACACACACACACACAGGCACGCACACACACACACACGCACACACACAAACACACACACGCCTCTGTGTTCCTAGCATGTACGAGCCACGTAGCCTGTGACATCTGTCTGCGCCGTGCCATTCGATGCAGCAACTGTGACTGCGAAAATTGGATGCGGTGCTTCCATAGCCCACACCCGAACCGGTCCTGTCTGGTCTGTATGGGTGGCCACTTGCCATAGTTAGCGTGGTGTTTTTTTTTTTTTTTTTTTTTTTT